GTATGAAATACGGGGTGTAAAATTTTATGACCTCCATACCTTATTCAGTTCAAGAAGCCTTGCACCATCTTTTCTATGAGCTTCAACAATCTCATTGTCATTAACAAGAGAAGCAATTTCTTTCTCAAAATCAGTTCGTGGTTCAAATTCAGCAGCTATAGCTCCTACAGTAGAAAATCCCACGTCCTTATCTTCGTCAAAATAGATAGTTGTTGCTTCTCTGTTTCTTTTGACATGAGGTTCCCATTTTGTAACATCTTTCTTGCTAAAATCATAAGCTACCCTTCTTTCTAATCTCTGTTGATCTGGTTTAGGCAGAGGTGCATGCATAGGCATGGACTTCTTCTCCATCCGACTCATGCTCTTTCTAACTTTGCTATAGCCAGACTTCCCCTGGAGAGGGCCGAGAAGATCCTGGACGCTAATGCGGCCATCTCCATCCAGAATATCACGGCTAGGATTATATTCAGACTCTGGATATGCCTCGGATATAATAACATCATTTTTCTTCTTCTTTCCTATCATACAGACATCTTTTGATCAGTCCTTCTCGTCATGGATCACACAATGTATACAAAGAAATGCCATCTAATGACAAAAAATTCTTCTTTTTTTCCCGAGGTTGAGGAGAATGCTCAGTTTTGTGAAGAGCAGAGCACTTAATAAGACATGCCTCTCCAACAAATAAAGGGAAACAAACATGGACTTGCAAGAAAAAGAGAAAAAAAACTAAAATTAACTGACTCACACATCATATGTAGACAAGTAGCACACACAAATCACTGTTACAAAATATATAAACGGATTGACTTTGAAGAAACACATCATATTCTACTAGTAATTGCAAGCATTAACCACGAGAAATGTGGGAAGGAAGTTTACCATCAAAAGCATCAGTCGGAAGACCAGTGATTTCTTGCAACAACCGTGAATGCCTTCCATCATCCTCTTCCTCATCATCCTCTCCTCGCCGACCATCCTCGTCTTCGTCACCATCTCCTTCATCTGATGATACATTTTCATCCTACATGGAAAAGTTCAATGCTTATAAATCCAAATATTTGATTGTTAAAGTATATGATTTCAGCAATTAGAATGTGCTGTGGAAGTATTTACAACAGTAGACTACATTACGAGTCGTGTAATGAGCTCAAAAAGTCAACCATGGCCTCAATGTCATTTGCAATAGCCATGTTGCGCCAAAAAAAATAAACAAGATATACATCTATATTGAATGGTAATTACATATTCCAGTTTGCTCTTAAAAACTCTAGCATTCCTTTCTTTCCAAACTATCCACCAAATCACTGAAGGGATTGTGTTCCAGGTTTTCCTCTTTGCCTTTTCTGAAACTCTTAGGCGCCAACTCTGTAATAAGCCCTTTGTTGTCACTGGCATTTTCCAGGTGACCCCCAAAATACTCCAAAAGAAACCCCATATCTATGAGGTAAATGAACAGTGAAGAAATAGGTGGTTGACATCTTCGGTTTGATTAAGACAAAGTGAACACCTGCTGCATAGGCTGATTCCCCTTTCTGAAGATTGTCGTGCATAATACAAGTATGCACCCTTTGCCACCATTTAAAAAGGAAAAAAAAAAAACAGCACCCCTTTTGTCCCAAACAGTTTGGCACTTTTTGCTTCAATTCAATCTAAGTGAACTTGGAGCAACAGTAAAGTTGTCTCCGTGTAACCTATAGGTCATGGGTTCGAGCCATGGAGCCACTAATGCTTGAGTTGGGTAGGTTCTCTACATCACATCCCCTGGGGTGCGACCCTTCCCGGTTAGTGCATGAACGCGGCATGTCTAGTGCAGTGAGGTGTCCTCTTTTTTTTCACCATTCAATGAGGGGTTGCAACTTTATTACCTTTCATGTAGTTTCCAAATATTATTTTAAATATTGTTAACTAATTCATCCCTGTGAAATTCATCCAGTCCAATAATATTCTTCCATAATAAAACTCAGACATAAAAAAATCCAGCCAAAGATTAAACATTTCCAAGAAAAATAGACCTCAAAAGCTGAAAATAAAAAGCTTACAGTACCTCAAAATCATCAGGAAGCTCATACTGGAAATTCTCAACAGGGTCAAATCGTTTATTTTTCTTGGATTCTTCTTCAGCAACACCTTCTTCATATTCATAAAAATCATTAACAGCTTCATCATCAGAAGCAATGTCTTCATCGGAGTATTCATTGGACCTTTTAGGTAATTGAAGCTCCTTTAACATAGCATTAGGCAAACGCGGACCTTTTCTTCTACCATCTTTACCTTCATGTGAATTTTGTTTTCTCTTCTTAAAGTCTTTTCGACCTTTGTTTTGCCTGTTCCCTCCTCCTCTGTTTTTCCTCTTCAACTCCGCCATTAGTGTAAAACAGGAAGCGTAAGAAGAAAAGGGTCGGTGGGATTGACGCGCGCCGCCGGGAGAGCCTGGTGATGAAAGCAGAGGCGGAGGTAGGAATTAGAGTGTATGGGTTCTAAATTTTAAAATAGGAAGACGACCCAAAATCAATATATAACAAGCAAGCAAACTAAAGAACGAATACAACCTCCTCACATTTTTATTTGTATTTGTTTTTCTTTTAATTTATTTATATAAAAACTAGCCCTTGCCTAGTGGATTGCCAAAAAAAAAAAGAACGAATATCGATATTTAATACACATTTAAAAGGTAACGAACTAGAAACATAATATTTGAATATAAACATTATTATTTCAATTGCACTCGATGACCATGTTTTGAAAACGATCAATAACCACATCATTAGGTACACTTCAAATACTTCATCCTCTATTTAACAAACTAAACAGTCTTTCAAAAAGTCATCACCAATTCTGCTTTTCAAGTCATTTTTATTAAATTTCATTGAAGAAAAAGTCCTTTCTACCGTTGCAGTAGAGTGATTAATTTATCTTTAGTTGTTAAGGCTCAACAGAGATTAATGTATCATGTCTTGATACACAAAGATGCAAAATTAGAAAGAAAAGTGTATCCAATTAACTCGCCCATGGATATGTTAATTGGTTAGCTACTTCAGTTATCCTTTTATGTAGTGCCATCTACTAATTTGCCCGATAGCCAAATTTAGATGCTAACAAAGCCGTAGCCAATTACTTTATTAAAAAAAAATGACAACAATCAATTAAAAATAAAGGTTGATAATCTGAAAATCTCTAAATTCACCATTTTGTTGAGGATATTATCTGCACTAAGAAACTAAAAACAGGAAAGTAGGACCACATACCTTGTCGATTTGTCGAGCTTGGCCTTTGAAATTTTGGAAAGCACAAAAGCACAAGTTGCAAAGAGAATAGAGGTCAAAATGTAGGACAACCCTAGAATGAAAGATTAAAAATTAGATTTTGTATGAATTATTACACAAAATATAATAGGAGCAAAAAAAGAATAGAAAAGAAGAAGAAAGAGGGAGAAAGAATATACAGCGTAAAGGAAGAAGGAAGATGCAGTAGAGGCGATAATCAGCAATTGGGGCAGAAAGGCAAAACCCTAGCTTTGTTTGATTTGAGTGCAGTTGAATTGTGAAAGAAAAATGTCTGTTTTGTTTTAGAGAGATATGTGTGTTTGATTTGGATAGTTTTATTTTGTGTCTCACACAATTCACACTAGTTGTATGAATCTCTTTTTTGTCTCAGTAAAATTGTGTCACAAAATCTTACACTTGAAGGTCCACTGAATTCTGGGATCACAAAACCTAAGACAAAAAGTTGCCCCATATATGTTGTTGCCCCATACAACTAGTACAAAATAAAATTTTCTGTTTGATTTGTGTTTTTCTTTATTAAAAAGGAATAGTAATTCTAAAGCATAAAGGAAACGCTAGTTTGGAACTTTGTAGCTTTGTTGTTTCTTCTATTTCTTAGTAAGTATTTATTTTTTCTAAGAAAAAAAGAAAATTTAACAAAATAAAGCGTTGCTTTCTAGGAGATTCGAACCCGGGCGTTATCATGGCAAACCCAGAAGCTTTACCACTGAACCCAAATCTAGGGTTTGGCGTATTAAATATATATAGAAACAATAAATTTTTCAACACAAATATAGGGTCCGAAAAAAGTCACTGGATTCGCCCGAACCTGCACACTCTACTGTAGCTCCGCCCCTGCCGTGAAAGAAGGTCTCAATGGCTGAAACTAGCGCAAATCAACCGCCATGGGTGTAGTAGGGATGTTGAAGAAAACCTAGCTAGAGCTTTGAATAAATGGGCCGACTAGTTTGGGATTGGATTGGTTTTGATCTGTTTAGTACTAAATTGACTTCAGGCCCAACGATGTTTGGACTACTATGGCCCAATATTCATTGGAACGGGTGATTTACAAAAATGGGTGGGTGTCTTGAATTTTTCAGATTTTAACATTGAGCAAGTGGGGACAAAAGGTTTGTCTTATGTGCAAAACTTGTGAATTTGACTTACAAAAGGTTTGCCCATAAGGTAAGTGGGGACAAAATGCAACTATCCTATAGGAGTCAATTGGTTCGGAGATAAGTTACGCAGGGATTAAGTTATGAAGATATTAGTTATGAATAGATTAAGTTATGCATGTATTAGTTATGTAGAAATTAGTTGTACATGGATTAAGTTTTTATTTTATATGGGTATTAAAAGAACAGAGCAATTTTCATAAAGCACTATAGTTTAGAGCCTATTAGCTATAATTTGCCTATTTACTGTTTGTAGCTATTGTTCAATTATTACCAGCTTGTATCACTTGTATTCAGACGCAAAACGAATACAACTTATGTCAATTGTATTCGTTCCGCGAGCAAATACAACATGTATCAATTGTATTTGTTTGCACAATTGTATTCGTTTGCGCAACAAATACAATTTATATCAATTGTATTGGTTCGCGCAACGAATACAACCAAGGCAAAATACGTAAATACATAAAAATAAAATGCTCTAATAGAGAGTCAAACGCAAGTCTTCCACTTATTAAGTGGGTGCTCTAACCAATTGAGCTATGAGAGCTTGTTGCTCTATTGTTTCGGTTCAAAACAATTGATCTCTTGTTTCATATATTTGCTATAAAATTTAAATATAGCCATGAATGGTAAATTTGATGAAAGTATGCTACGAATAGTAAATATAGTGTATATGTTTGATGTGTCGCATCATTTTTCCTACAAAGAAAAAATTATCTTCATTGTCAGTTGACCCCAACATACCAACAAAATAGGCCCATATTTAGATCCTTACTCCGAGTAACCCAGATTGTACATAAATTGAAAACTAATTTTCATCTGTTTGCCCAGAACACTTAAGAGGTTTTTTATTTATTTTTTCTTCATTCCCAAAACAGCTAATTCTCGCTCCAGCGCCTCTCTCTTTCTTCGCTCTAAGGCACATAGATCCCCTCATCCTCTCTTACCCTATTCTCCCTCCCAACCCCCTTTGCAATTCGCCATCAATGGGTCCAAAGAAGGCTCAGGCTACTCCTCCGTTATCCAAGCCTGCCAAGTCTGATGGCGGCAAACAGAAGAAGAATTGAAGATTTTGAAAGAAAAATAAAATTTACACATATCTAAAAATCTATAACTCTCAAACTTGACTTGCATTGAAAATAACCACTGATTTTGGAAGATTTTGAAGTTTGCAGTTTTGGTCATCATAGTTACGACCTTGAAGTTTCGGATCTGAAACTGGTATATCTTGTCTTGGTGTTGAATTCGGCATCGTTCGCGTAAAGTTGTTAGCCTATTGACGACTTGAATTGTCCAATACTTGCTGTACAACTCGAAAATTGAGATAAAAAATCATAACCATGTAGCAGTTTCTATCAGCATTATATAATAATGTATAATTGTGTATATGGATGTACATACCTCGTATGCACTGACATATACATTAACAAATTAATACATTATTTGCAGTAAGTACAATGCTGGACATTAGGTATGTTATAGTGAAAGTATTATACAATTGCATTTATATACGTTTATACAGTTTATATAATTGTGTATAATGTTGCAAAATTATATATTTTTTCAGTTTATAAGGATAATAAATTGTTAATATATAAGAGGTCTTCATAAGTTTGACACTTTATTTTCTTCTTCTTCTTTTTCGTGTATTTGTTGCATGAAAAATATCTTATACGTTCTGAAGAGATTATACAATTCTTTTACCAAGTTTTTTTTAATGTTGTTGGATTGTTTCAGCAATCACATATCTAATTTTACACTTGTAGTTTAAACTAACAATTCTGATGTGTGAAACCCCAAATGATTCACCACTTAAAGTGTACTAAAAGGTTGGAATATTTTATTGTAAAATCATGTTTTGCCGTAAGGAATTGAGAAAATAGGAGAATATTTAATTTAGGGAAAAAGGCTATTATTACCCCCGTACTTTTGAAAATCATCCATGTTTGTCCCCCGTTACACTTTAGGTTCAATCTCCACCTTCACGTTAATAAAGTCTATACCATTACCCCTAACCCTAATGCCCGTCCTAGTTGGCAGCTGACCCCATCTTTTTATTCCAACTCAGCTGCCAACTAAGCTGCCAACTCATATTCCACTAACTTATTAGACCCAAACCCAACGTCAATACCAAATCTTACTGACCCGTAACCCGTAACCGAAAACCCATCAAATAAATAGATTAAACCCGCCTGAAAATACCTTATTCACTCATTTGCTCGAACCTTCTGGTACTTCAAAGAAAAAACAAGAATCAAAACCGGTCAGGATCCTTGCAGAAGAGTGGCGATTTCAAGCAAGGTAAGAGATTTTTCTCCCAAAAATTAATTTTTCTGTTAGTTTAATCTCTTATCTTAAGTTATCCCAAAAAAAATTCCGGAAAAAGTTTTCCGAATCCCTTTCAGAAACCCTTTTCTGAGTTAGGGTTTTCATAAACCCTTTTTTTTTCGATTTTTTGAAGTTGATAGGTGTTTGTAGTTGTCATAGGGTTTCTAATTTTTTTCTGATTTTGTATATATTGAAGTTATGGTTTACTGAATAGTTCTTTGTTGGTTATGGTTTCACTTCTCCTCTCTTTGACGATAATTTCAAGCTGGTAGTGCGTGCTTTGCTTTTGTATTCACTTGCATGTAGTTTTACAGTAATAAAGCCTTTCTTTACTCTTTTTGTTTGCATGTGCCTCATCTGGTATTGGAAGCCTTTTGGTGGTTTTGGGTTTCGATTATAATATTTTGTGGTCCCAAATTATTTTATTTTTTTATAGAAAAGAAGTGAATCAGAATTTTAATATTGAAGGGTGGGGCTGGGACACTTTATTCCGTATAATACTTTAATGTATGGTCCCCATATCCATGGTTGCTTAATGTTGACTTGCATTATTGAATTGGGCTGATTCTATTTTACTATCTTTATGCATTTATGCCTTTTTCCCTTTATTTTAACTGTCCTTATTCTTTTTCCCAATGCTAATTTTCTCAGTACTAATTTGTTCTGCAGTTTACTATCAATGGTCCTACTGGATTTAGTCTTTCATTATGGTGCAGAGTGGGTCAAGAAGCCACTCATAGCATACTCAAGAAAATTCTGGCACATTAAGTTGGCAGCTGAGTTGGAATAAAAAGATGGGGTCAGCTGCCAACTAGGACGGGCGTTAGGGTTAAGGGTAATGGTATAGACTTTATTAACGTTAAGGTGGAGATTAAACCTAAAGTGTAACGGGGGACAAACGTGGATGATTTTCAAAAGTACAGGAGTAATAATGACTTTTTTCCCTTTAATTTAATACATAAAATCATAAATATTTATGTTGTCGATCCTAACCTCTATGTTTCTTTTAATTTTGTTACTTCATTCATTAGCTTTGATCGATTAGATGATAAGTTAAAATTGATGAAGTTCCAATCTTGTAAGCATATATTGAAGATTCATGTTTCTATTGCCTTATTGGTCTATTAATCTTGTACTATAGATTTATAAAGTTGTGAATAGGCCACATGATTGCAATGTATGTGTATGGGTTGTACTTATCTATAATTTTCTTTATTAAAAATTTGAACAAACCGTTATATAAGTTGGGCAAGATTTTATACGAAAAATCAAAATACCAATCAAATATTGTATAAGTTGTCCAAGATTTGATACGAAGACCAAAATACCAACCAGACTTTATAGTAAATAGATTCGGCTCAACTCATGTACAATATCTACCAGTGCATATCTAATTTAATGACATCGGTCCTCTTTCGGATCTAAGGGCCAAAGTCTATTTAGACTAAATCATGATTAAACTGAACATTCTCTAGCTGGGTTAGTATCAAAATTGAAAAGAGAAATCAACAATCCGAAAATCTTGTTGGAAATTTCATTTAGATTTGGGAAATATTTTCTTATCATTGGAAATGAATCTTTGTCGCGAGAATGAAGAAAACTGTAAGATTAAATCATTTACAAACTATAACAACAAAAGTTGCAAGGAGAAAAACGAAATCAGTTGATGAGCAAAAAAAAATTTTGGGTAAAGAGCGACGACAACAAAATAGGTTCTTCTTCAATCTTACACCTTAACAATCATATTCTTGTGCTCTTGTGATTTTTGAAGTGTCAAAATGCCTATATTAAAAAAAAAATATATGATGTGTTTGATAAAATGTCTCAATTGAACTTTTTGAGAACAAAGTAGGAAACTAATATTTAAAAATATGAGAAATTGTATTCCTTAAACACACAAAGTAAATTGAATAATTAAGCTTACAAAATATTTGACAAAAAATTGATCGAGAAAATATGTTTAATCCTAGTGGTTATGCCTACTTTCAAACAGAAGGCAACATGATAGCA